AAATTCTGGTATGTGACAGCTCCTCTAAGCCTAAAATTACCCATTTAATTGCTGGGTTTTGTCCGTTAAGTGCTGCCCTGTGCTTGTCGAATTTTGCTAAAATGGGGGGAGGAATTCCGGTAGCATTTAAATGTGTTTTTGTGCTTGGTTTAGGTAGAATTATCTTAATTTGGCTGCTGTGAATTTTATAGAGAAAATCCCGTGAATTAGCTAGTGTTTGGGCCAATTGTTGGAAGTTGGAGTTACTGTTCACGGGTACTGTTCATAGACACTGTTCACACACCGAGGGTTAACAATTAACAGGAATTTAAAGGTTTAGTTTGTGATATAAGAATAAATTTGGAGGTGTTCAGTTATGTGGAGAAGGACAGAAATAGCACTGTGATTAGGGGTAGTGCTAATGATTATTTTACTTGAATTTGTGGTACCACAGTATTAATTGTGGAATATTGTGATTAGGTTTTGATCGTTCTGTCACCGTAGCACTTGGGTTAGCCTTCTGTTCTGTGCGAGTGAAGTAAGTAAATTATGGTAAAGCCCTTTGATTTTAAAGCATATTTTAAACTGTTTTTGAGATGGTGGCAAGCTTTAAATTGTTTTTATCAGCATCTGAGTGTGATTAAATTGAAATGTAAATTGTGATGGTTTTTATGAGAATTTCATTGTTTTTCTGGAATTGAGCATGATTGGAATGAAAATGGGAATTTCATTGTTTTCTGGAATTGAGCATGATTGGAATGAAACTGTTTTCATTGCATTGAGCAGAGCATGCCTATTTGGAAATTGACTGAACTGTTTTGATGAACTGAGAGTTTTCAAATTCCGAGTTTTCTGTTGAATCCATGCTCACATGGAAATTTTTCGATTATTTCTGAAATTGGAGATTGATTGTGAATTTCGGGTTTCTCTGTAAATTCTGCATGGTTTTGTCTCGGATATAGTCATGATTACTGACGCTCGCTAGTGGGAGCTGTAAACGCTAGCACATGTCGACATATATTTCTGTAGAACCAGTTCGCCCTACCAATGGGGTTAAACATTGGTCATTACTGACGCCTGCCAGTGGGAGTTGTTAAACACTGGTACTATTACTGACGCCTGCCAGTGGGAGTTTGTAAACACTGGTACTTCTGTAACCTTGCCAATGGGGTTAAACATTGGTAATTACTGACACCTGCTAGTGGGAGTGTGTAAACACTGGTACTATTACTGACGCTTGCCAGTGGGAGTTTGTAAACGCTAGTACTTCTGAAACCCTGCCAATGGGGTTAAACATTGGTTATTACTGACGCCCGCCAGTGGGAGTTTGTTAAACACTGGTACTATTACTGACGCCTGCTAGTGGGAGTTTGTTAAACACTGACCAGGACTTATAGATGAGACTACTGATGAGTTTTATTATGCATGAATGGTTTATCATTGAAAGTTCTGTTATGTTTACATGGTTTATCTAGCATGCTTAAAAGTTTTACCCAAGGGCTATCCATATTTACTTACTGAGTTATCTCATAGTTTTTCCTTGTCCACCATTTCAGGAAGCGAA